TCGCTTGGTTTGTCAAACCGCTTGTGTGGTGTATTTCGCTCTTTACTCTAGAGCCTCTATAACTGATTTCTCATCACATTTACAACTACATACTTATGCACATACATATATCTACGCATTTGTATACATGTACACACATACAGATATATATGTATATAGTATATAAGTACAATTGTACACATGTGCCATACTTGTCAATGCTTTTTCACATTATTGACATTTGCGAGTGCCACATTTGATGACGTTAAAAAATATGTATGTGTATTAGTATACACGCACAAAATATGTTTCGGTAAAATATGATTTGCGAAGCGAATTTTATTAGAAATTTATGACAGCTGATATGATGTTCAGTTTTTATTTTTTTTTTCATTTCTTTTACTTTTATTTCTATTTTCATTTACATTTTATTTGCACTGTGATTGCATTGAATTAAAATGAACTTCAATCGAATCGATGAAGCGTAAATTCATTTTATTGATGAGCAAAGTTCTACAAAATTATTATTGCGCGGATATGGCTTAATGCAAACATAAGTTATGTATACATTTATATGTTCTTACATACATAGCTCCATGCGTATACAATATTTTTACATGCAGCTGCTCTCTTCGGAAAAAATTTGATAAAAATGAATTATTCTAAAGACTAAGCATATTGCATAGCAGGCGGCCGTCATTTTCAAGTAGTTAGAGTTTGAAATTTAGGTGACGATTTTTTGCATTCTTTTGTAGTTTTCTGCAATATTTCAAACTTGGGTTTATATGTGTTTTATTAGAGAATGAACTGTGTTTTCATTGAAAACTCTTGAAAATAAATAAACAAATATGGGTGGCAAACAATATCACTTTGATATGACCGATACTGACATATAAAAAATATAAAAAAAATGTTTTTTTTTCTGGAGCGTTCGCCCATCGAATGACCTCCGCGTGGCAGAAGGCAAAAAAAACGCTTCTCATAAAAACCATCAGTTCGAAGGCGAAGCTAAGTAAACAGGCACCTAATGTACATTAAGGAGGTCCAAAAGTGCATGTGAGAGATAATCGAAGTCGGTATTATTATGCTCTCACTCCCTAGGAATATTCTATATCGGAAAATTATACCCCTGCTTTTTTTAAATCAAAAAATATTTCGAGGTCACACAATGCGCTCAAATTTGTCCATGTATTTTTCGTATAAATGTTGTAGAATTCTTGAAAAGATATATTTTTTGAACGGAAATCGCTATTTTACTTCAAGTTACTTTACTTCCAATAATAATACTAAATTTTTTAATTAACGATTTTTTAATGGTAACTAGTTTTTGTAAGTACCCCAAAAACTTCTAAAAATGCAGTGCGGAGACTCATAAGAAATAGTTAATACATATTAAAAACAGGTTAAGTAAATAATTGGATATAAAATAAACTTTTTTGGTTTGTTTGTAAAATTTATTAGAAAAAGTTGTCAGGGATTTTGCGTAGGTAATTAAGCTAAAAATAATTAAATATCAGCAAAATTTCATATTTATCAACTACTACTTCACCACTTAGTGACCAGCATTACACTGTTCGCCTTGTCCCATACAACAGAGCGGCCAGATAATACAAATATTCTCTTACTAATGTAGAATTGCCAGACATATAAAGTTCTTATTCTAACGTAATTCGGCTACAGATATTATTTTTCTAAATGAAACACATGGAAAATTTTAAGCGTCCCCTGAATATTTTTTGATTTCAAAATAAAAAACAGGGTTATAATTTTTTTCGGTATAGAACAGTCTTCGAGGGTGCGACATTAAAATTTGGACTTTACTTTTTTCACATGCATTTTTTTTGGACTACCCTAATGTCCATACTCAGCGCCTGGCGAAGAAGCAATCAAAGTTTGATCGTTTGAAACCTACATACATAGTTGGTATATAAAAAAAATAGATATAAAGACGCATATCTTCGCCATACTTTAAGAGTTTAGTTATCTTTTAGACTCCTTATCAGGCTTTTCAATTTTGTGTTAGAGTCTCATAAAACGTGTGTTTTGAATTAATTTTTGTTATTATTAAATGTGCGTTACTTTAATGTAGGTCACAAGAGGCAGTTAGTCTGTCCCTCTCGCTTCTCCCCTTCTTTCGCATGCTAGAATATAGAAAAATAAATTCCTTTACTATCAATTTGCAAGTAAGAAACAACAAAGCAATTGCTATGGGTACTAAGTTGTCTTGCCTTAACGTATATCGAAATTACTTTCTATGACAGTGGAATCAGAAAATTCAAGAAAATTTTTACAGTTACGCTTCAACAACAAATACATTGTGCTCGATTGTCCAACGGAAATGGCGAAACAAATACTCATACAACATGTGCGCGATATATCGCTAGGACGAAGGACCTATCATTATTTGTTAAGCGGTTTGGTAAGTGAAGTTTCTGGCATACAGACATACAGACATACATACATACAAATGTACTTGTAAAACTTTACGAACCTGTGTGTAGAGATAATAAACACGCGCATACACACAAACGTGCATACATTCCTAAATGTATTTATGTTTATATATATAAATTTCTATGAAGCCACAATGCTCTTACATTTAAAGCCAAGTAAATAAATCGTTCTGCATGACTGCCAAACCACAAATGAACAAAAGGTGAATGTG